GCCCTGCCGGCTCCCCTGGTGCATGGTGTCCGTCGCACTGGGGGAAGCTGCCCATTGTGCTGTGGGTAAATTGCACTGCTATGGAGGAAATCCAGGCGGCGGGATGTAAAAGCAGCACCCTTGGGCCACGCTCTCTCTGCTGCAGTCCCAGCGGGCAGGCCGGGCACGGAGCATGTGCCAAATCCCTTGGCTTCCCCTGGGGGGAGAGGCTATGAAGTGAAGCGTCCTTTGGCACCGAGGTGCTGCAAGGAGTGAGACTACCCCTAGCCACCAAGGAGACTGCTTTCCCCTCCTTGGCAGCTCTGTCTTGCCAGCTGCATCAGGAGATCTGTCCAGAGGGCTGTGCTGTGCAGAGTACAGAGGAGGCTGATCTGCCGGCTTTGCCTGTTCTCTCCCTCCAGGACTGGTGGCGACGTGGGGCCATCTCCCCACGGGCAGTACTGGAAGCCCCACTGCTTGCGGACATGTCGAACTCGGCTGCGTAATGGACTGTGGAGAACACTTAGGCACTGGCCAAAGAGGATGGACTTTGATGCCCTAATAGGTCTCATCCACCTCTAACTTCCCCACTGCTCTGCCCAGCCTGAAGGCAAGGCCTCTGCCTTTTGCATCTTCCCAGACTCCTCCCCTGGGCTTCTGAGACAAGCCCTGAACTAATTGGATTCAATTAGCACCCCCTCCTATACTCCCCCGCGGTAATTGATTGCATGCAGCCCTCCTTCGCTCCCTCTGCCAGCTCTGCCAGCTAGTGAAAGTGCTTCCCTGCTCTTCCAGTCCTGAAAGGATGCAGATGAGAGCTGGGATCCCAGCAGCCCTGGCACCGCATGGTGGGGAATGAATCCTGGATGAGTGGGCAGGTAGTTGGACTGCCAAAGGGGCCCTGGACAGGTTTCAGGGGGCGGGGCTCTGAGGTTTGGGTTGTGTCTAATTCAAATGAAAACCATTATAGTAACGCTTTGCCCCAGAGCACCTGCCATCTCAGGGCCTCTTAGCCCTTTACTGATGTTAATGAACTAGACTTGAGGCTGGTATTATTGATCCCACTTTCATGAGTGAGGAAACTGAGGCACAGAGGTGACGGAGGCCTCACAAAGAGTCAGGAGCAGAACTGAGGATAAATCCCAGAAGTCCCAATCCCCTGCCTTCACCACATGGATAATTTTAAAACAGGGGTGAACAAACCCAGCACTTCTGTATCTCAGAAACCCTTTCCAAGGTGAGATCTCAGGGATGTTCCAGATCTCATCTCATCTCCTCCATACTGCTTAGAGCATTCCCAACTCAGTGACTGGGGAATGCCCAGAACAGACGGGAGGGAAAGGGACACCAATGCCGCTATGCCAGTATAGCACCCGGTGTAGACATTCATTCAGTTTAGGAAAGACCTTTTTCAGTACAGTTTCAGCCATTTCCCAAGCCATACAAGCTATAGCAGAAAGAGGCCACTTATACTAGAATGAGACAGTACACAGGGCCGTCCATAGGCATACGCAGCATATGCGGCTGCGTAGAGCACCTGAAAATTTGGGGCACCACCGGGACCAAAGGCGCCAACTTCTCATCTTGCTAGGGGGTGCTCGAGCTCCTGGCTCCACTCCAGGCCCTGTCCCCACTCCACCCCTTCCTCCAAACCCCCTCCCTGCCTCTTCCAGCCCCTGCTCCACCCACACCCTGCCTCTTCCCTGCCTCCTCCCCCGAGCACACCCCGTCCCCACTCCTCCCTCTCCCTCCCGGAGCTTGAATGCCATGAATCAGCTGTTCATGGCGCTCTGGCAGTGCTGAGAAGGAGGGGGAGGAGTTGGTAAGTGCGGGGCCGCCAGGTGCGCAAGACGTGCGTGGGGAGGGGGAAGAAGGGGGGAACTTGGCGCCGGTGGGTGCTCTGCACCCACTAAATTTTCCCCATGGGTGCTTTAGCCCCAGAGCACCCACCCACGGAGTCCACGCCTATGACCGGGACAGCAGGTAAGAGCGGGTTGGCTCCTGCACACCCAGCGCCCGCTGCAGTCTCCTTACTAGGCAGAAGGCAAGGGCTGTATTCACAGGGGCACCAGTTGTGCCAGCGTAGGGGCACCAATTTAATAATACTGCGTAGGGCCCCATAAATCCTCAGGACGGCCCTTAGGTTATACCTGTATAACTGTAAACTATCAATGCTGTAGTAGTGCCTCTGTAGTTCAGACACTTCCGTCCCTGTAGTAAATCCACCTCTCCGAGAGGCGGTAACTAGGTCGACAGAAGAATTCTTCCTGCAGCCTAGTGGTGTCTACATCTGGTCTTAAGTCAGTTTAATTGCATCGCACGGTGTGACATTTTTCACAGCGTTAAGCAAACTTTGTAGTGTAGACCAGCCTTGTAGGACCATTCCTAGGGCCACTTCACATCCCTCTGGCAAGGTGAAGGTGCCTTAAAGTGGGCAAGAATTACAGTGACACTCATTGAAAGTGGCCTCAGTGTAAAATGAGAATGAGCCCTGTAGTGTGTTACCTCCATGCTGCACTGGGACAAGGGACTGCCAAGCTGCAGAGCACTGGGGGCTTGAACTCCTGAACAGATGGCTTAATTTTCCAAGGGTACATGCATTCCACTGCCTCCCTGAAGTCAGCATCTCTAATGATCGGGCCATGTTTATCCTGGTGCCCAGCTTGGGCTGCAGGTATCTGATGTTAAAAGCTTACGTTTGACTCCCTTATAGAGTGGGACCATGTATGCTACCTGCCCATCCTTACCAAGGAATTCAAGGATATACCCCCAATTATAAATCATTTTCAAAATGCTTCAGATCTGAATTCCTAGTTAGCACATCAGAGCTGATGAAAACAGGAAGGAAATTTAAACTTTCCTTTACTTTCCCTGGCAATGCTGTTTGTTTACTATTTGCACTTCACCAGGTTGGAGGTTGGAACTAAGCTGGTCAGTTTCATATTCTGTTTTGAATCAGTTTCACTTTGGATTTCTCCTACACTAGCACAAGACTGCGGCTGTGTTCGGTTTTATAGCCTTGCTGGGGACGTTTTTGATATAGGAAGAATATATTCAATGTCATGGGGGAGAGAAACATCCTCAAATATGAAATCTTTTCTTTTCATAGTAAGGTTTGAAAATATCTGCATACTCAAAGCCTGCAAGAAACTAGCTGACTCAGTCATCTACTGGTTTGTTTCATTTACTGCTGAGCGATTTATGTAGAGGAAAGGCTGACTGTTTGGAGGGATGGACATATGGATGCTGGAATAGAAGCGAGGGATTATTTGAGAGATGAGGTGGCCAAATGGTGGAATGTTGATAAAGAGAAGGGGATTTAAGGAGTGGGTAATTTATAGTGCTTGGGGAGAAAGGCAGTGTTGCTAGCTGTTAGGTTTTTATGCGAGTCTTGTTGTATGTAGTGTTTTTTCTTAGAGCTTCAGATCCTGGAGTCATGGGGTTACGAGAGAGTCTCAGTTTTCATCTAAATAAAAAAAAGTAAGTTTCTAGCCCTTGGCTGTGGAGCAAAGCTTGAAAATGTGATCTGTGTGCGCCTGGAAGGCAAAGAAAAAGACCCCAACTTCTTTGTAGTTCTTGTGATTTTTAACTCAATCTCGTAATGTTGCTCATGATTTTTGAACACTTGGGGTTGGCAGCGGTGGAAATGTAACAACTTGACCACAGTGTGTTTGTCGTATCCGGATCCCACGGCCCTTCACCTGCCTTGTTCTTTGGATCTCTCTGTTTGTAAAATGCCTCCTTAGCACATTGACTTCAGCTGGAGCGGTGAGTTGTCAGCTCCTGTGAAAACCACCTGGGCCCCACGTATCTCGTATTGGGCACTCCAAAATGGAGGTGTCCCCAGCCGCCAGAGACTCCTTTGGAAAATGGTGGCTCTAGTCACTTGCACAAGATGATGCTGCGAGCATGGAAAGACTGTACTTTACAACTAAGAGTCAATGGCAAAGCTGGGCTAGTTGAAGGGTGGTTCAGTGGTTAGGGCCCTAGCCTGCCACTTGGAAAACCCACAATCAATTCCCTGCTCTGCCACAGATGTCCTGGGTGACCTCAGGTAAGTCACTTAGTCTCTCTGTGACTCAGTTTCCCAGTTGTAAAATGGAGATAACAGCCCTGCCCTGCCTCACAGGGCCCAAGGCCATAAAGAACGTGAGGTGTTCAGAGACTGCAGTGAGGGGGGCCATATTAAATACCTTAGACAGAACCTTTCCCATTTCTTTAATACCGGCACGGTGCCGCCTCCTGATCGAGTGGGATATCCACCTGTTGCTAGGATGGGGGCGGTACAAAAGCTAACCCAGACAGACAGGCTAGCGGACTGAGCAGCATTAGATATTTATTTTTTGTCCCTTAATATAGTGCTTGGAGCTGAATTAGCAGCCCGGGAGTGATTCACAAGTCAGGGACAGCATGGGCGTTGGCAATAAAACCTGCCTCCTGCAAGTCACTAGATCCCTGTCCTGGAGGCACCCGTTCTAGGCATGAGTGGGTAGGTCAGGCCTTGGGATCCTTTCAGCCTCTTGGCAGCCATGATCAGCACAGGATAAGCTTCCAGGGGGAAATCGGCTGACACCCCCCACCCCACACCGACTCATTCTTTTTGCCCTGCTGTCTACTTCCTTTTAAAGGAAGAAATGTGTCTTCTTGGGCCTGCGGGAGGGAAGGCAGGCTGCTGCCGGGTTGCGGGTTGGCTGATGGGCCAATACTGGAGGAGATTAGGGAAGAAATCTGCCTTTCATTTTATTCCCCTCCATGCCAAGGACCAAATCCATCTCTGGTGTAACTGTGCAGGATTCAGTGGCATTCCAGCAGTGACTGACTAACCCCGCTGCCTCTGCCAGCTCGGTAGGGGAGAGCACACAGAAGCCGCAGAGAATTCAATCCCAGTGAGTGAGCTGCAGCTGCTGGGGAAGTCCTTGGCAAGGCGGGTCTCCCCCATCTCTTGCTCTGTGGCAGTCAGTCTCCTTGCAAGGAGCTGGGTGGAGCCCTGCCTGTATAAAACTTCCCAGTAGACTCCTTGGAGCCAGCTGCTTGTGGCAGGCGGGCTGGGGAGAGGCGGGGTGGGGAAGGCTGCGTGAGCACATATTGGCCAGCTGGGATCTTCGCAGCTGTCTCTCCCTGGAAGGCGTTGCAGTGGGGAGGTCGGAAAGGAATCCCATTGAGTTAAAGGCCAGGGGAGCCTCGAAAGGAAGAGCGGAGCAGCAAGTGAGCATGGAGCAGAGCTGCCTCTCCCAGCTCCTGGCAACCTGGTGGCTCTTTTGGAATCTTGTGGCCAGCTGCCAAGGGACCAAGGGGAGCGTGCCCAGACTCCGCCTGTCTTATAAAGGTAATTTGCAGGGGTGGTGTAGGTATGATGGTTCCAGGATATTAGAGAGTAGGGTGACCGGATGTCCCAATTTTATAGGGATAGTCCTGATTTTGGGGGCTTTTTCTTATATAGGCGCCTATTGCCCCCCACCCCCTGTCTCGATTTTTCACACTTGCTGTCTGGTCACCCTATTAGAGAGACAAGGTGGGGCAGGCACTGTCTTCCCCCGACCCGAAGAAGAGCGCTCTGTAAGCTCGACAGCTTGTCTCTCTCACCAGGAGAAGTTGGTCCAATATGAGATATTACCTTCCCCCGCCTTGTCTCTCTTGCAAAGGTAATAATGCTTATGGAGCTGTATTGCTGGGAGCTGCTGCACGCTCTCTCTCTGGGGATGGTGTTGAGGATTTAAACCTGAAAGCCGCACTGGGCTGCCCCTGGCTCTTCTCCCACTTTTGACTTGGCACTTGCTGGCTTCATGTGCTTATGCCTGGGTCTGAACAAGTGTTGGGGCATGCGCTGACCTGATCGGAGCGATCTCCAGTGTGTTGGGGACAGGGAGGAGGTATTGGTGGATAGGGAGGGGTGATTTCTGGCGCCTGCTGGATGTGGGGATGGGTTTGTATGCAGAGAGGTGATCATGAACAACTGGGCAGGTGTGAGGTGGTGTGGGTGCGAGCAAGGGTATACATTTCACTGTGGTGTCCCCGGGCTCTCATAACTCCTTCTCAGCTCAATTACACTGAGATCTGCTGCGGGCAGAGTGGGAGTGCTGGCAATTAACTCCTTCACTCCTCCTTCTGGGTGTACACTGGATGCCTGACAAATTAGCCCCCATGACCCTGTGGCTGTACCGATATGTGCACTGCATGTGTGTATTCAAACTCTCGGTGCCCCATGGAACTGCAGAGCATTCTGCGTGAGTGTGACACATGGCACTTACAGTGGGGGTGGAGTGTGTGTGTGTGTGTGTGTGTGTGTGTTGGGGAGTGTTAAGATTTATAAATCACAGATTTCAGAGTAGCAGCCGTGTTAGTCTGTATCCGCAAAAAAAACAGGAGTACTTGTGGCACCTTAGAGACTAACAAATTTATTAGAGCATACAGCCCACGAAAGCTTATGCTCTAATAATATTTATAAATGGTCTGCCCCATTTGCCCTCACTGCCCCCTGGTAGTCTGCTGCCCCTCGTGTGGTTGGAATGGGAAAAAGAAGGGAGTTCCTGCAATGACTTGAGGGGTGGTTGCGCCCCCCCCCCACATGCTAGGAAATGTCATTCTCTCATTTCGTAGCAGCGGGCAGTGGCTCAAACAGGGAGGGTAGTGGCCCCACCTGCCCCCAGGCACTGCCAGGCTTTGCTTGTCCCCAGACTGCACAGGGATCTATCTCAATGGCTAACCTAGCAGCCATAGGCCAACCGAGATTGTAGCAGTCTGCGGGGAGAGTGTCTGCTACCCTGCACGTCTGTGTTACCTGCGAGACTCCCTCTCTCTGCCCTGCTGGGATGGAATGGTGCCGGGCCAGGATTAATGCCTAAATGAAGGGATCCTGCTTAGAAACGATCCCCCAACCTGGCTAACATGAGCGCCACCAGCCTTGGTCCCTCCTCCTTCTTCATCCCCTGGGTGAGACTATGCGTGTGATGGGTCCCTGGGGGACCCAGAATGCAGTGATCAGTTTGCAAGACTGCATACAGCTGCAGCTAACAGGACAGTGGGTAGCTGGAGGGTTTGGGGCTGTTCCTGTCCTGCGTGGGTGAGGGAACACCTTGAAATTCAGAGCAGGTGCTTAGCGTAAAAGGGGAGGTGGTGGCTTTCAGGGCATGTTTGCACTGCATACAGCACTTGTAGATACTCCAGCTAGCTTTGATCCAGCTTGCTCCAGTAACAATAGCAGTGAAGCTGTGGCCATTGACTATGTACCCAGTGTCTTGGGCTGGGCTAGCCCCTGCAGCCGCCTGTGCTGGAGCGGCTTTTCCGCTATTGTTACTCAAGCTAGCTTTGATCTCAATTAAAGTTAGCTGGGCTATATCTCCATGTGCTGCAATCTTGCCTCCCATTGAAGTGTAGGCACATACCCTCTCTGCCCTGGCTGCAGCCAGCACCCCCTTGTGACCAGTGTCTGGTACTGTAGCCAGAGCAGCCTGGTTCTCAGCATTCTGCCTGGAGAAGGCTCTTTCCAACGCACGCGCTGTGTGCTGGCAGGCTTTGCCCCACTCCAGAAGGAGCAGGAGGACTGTTGCTTCCTGGACTGGCAGGTGCCTCCTGAGAGCGAGTGACCTTCCTGGAGCTCCGTGCCCCTGCGCTGGATCTGCGTGAGAATGGCATGCAAGGTTTGTTGTTAGCCAGCATTACCCTGTATCGCCCGATGCTTCCCTGGGATGTGCAGCGGCTTGATTTGCATCCCTTGTGCCCCTGCAACACTGTGAAACTGCCACGGGTGGGCTCTCTCCGGCCATCAGAGGCACTTCTTCCTTTTGCTGGGGCTGGAAACGCCTCAAGAACAGCCTTTGCCATGGAGTTTTGCCACCTTGTTTTGATTGGAGCTAGGAGCTGGACAGAGGCAAAACAGCTGGGGTTGGAGTTGCAGCTGGAGGGTCAGGCTGGCTTTTATTTTTCCCTTTTCTGGGCCTGCTCCTAGTAAGTCAAACTCCCATTGACTCTGGTATGAGCAGGCACAGGCTTGGAGTTGTGGGCACTTGGGTGCATATGGTACCACCGAAGAGGCACTGTCTGTTGCACAGCAGTTATGCGTCAGGCTCAGATTGGGGACTTTGGTTGGGGACTGTAGATCAAATTGCATTAGATGGGATATTTCTGAAGAGTTTCTGACCAGCCAATATAGTCCCTCCCTCCTTGCCTCCCAGCCCTCAAAAAGACGTTGGGGGGTGGGATTGGGGAAAGTCCAGCTGGGAGAGTGGTGGAAACATGAAACAGAAGAGCTGGCTCGAGTCTAGTGCTCTTGAGGGTTTGCTGCACACTGCTCCAGAGGACAGATGTCAGGGTGGCTGAGACCCAAGCCGCTGTGGATCCGGTGGCTAACAGCCCACAGAGCTGGGGAAAGTGACCCTGCTGTTTACAGCGACTTGCTTCCTTGTAGATCTGGACTTGGCGGGGAGGCTGACTCGGCCTTTGGCTCAGAGCTCCTCTGGCCAGGGCAGAATGTCAAGGCTCTCTCTCCTTAGGTGGCCACTTGCACAGATGTGAGCTACAGGCATAAGAAGGAGAGGTTCCCCTAAAAACCATGAATGGCTCAGTTTGTGGGAGGAGGGGAGGGCAGGATTTGGGTCTGCTCGGGGTGGCTTCCTTGCTCCGCTCCTCTGAATCCCAGTGGCAGTAAAGTACTAAGCTTTACTTACTCCAGATACTGGGCCATGCATACCTGGTCTGGGGAGGTGGAGACCAGAATAACCCTACTCTGAACCTAGTCCCATGCCTGCTACTTGCTTGGGGAGGGAAATGGAGCACATGGAGACCCCTGTTCTGGGAAGCTGTCCTACTGGGACTCAAAGAACTGAGGGTACTGAACTGGTTCCTGCTGTTTGAGCAGGGGACATTGTTACCGTGCACATGGCAGCTGCCATGCTGGGACAGACCCATGTCCTGGCTGGCCAATGCCTGGGTCTTGTGCAGTACTGTCCCATGGGAGGACAGATCTTCCTGAGCCCAGCTGTTGAACAGCGCATGTCCTTAAGCCTGAGAAATGAGAGCAGTGTGTCCTAGTGGATGGAGCACTGAATTCTGTTCCTGGCTCTATCACTGGCCTGCTGGGTGACTTTGGATAAGTCACATGCCTGCCCTGTGCCTCAGTTTCCCCATCTGTAAAATGGGGATAATAAGTCTGACCTCCTTTGTGAAGTGCTGAGAGATCTGCTGATGAAAAGTGCTAGATGAGAGCTAGGGATTATAATTGTATCTGAGCAACTTTATTTGCTGGGTAATATTTTCAAAAAGTGCCTGAGAACTTGAGTCATTTTGAAAATGAGACCTATGCACCTAAGCTTAGTCACTTAGGTGCTCTTGAAAATTATACTCATTTCTTAGGCATAGGAGCATCTTCTCCTTTACTGCAACTCAATAAGTTCCTGCAGCTGTGAGTTCCACAAGTTAACTATGTTGCATTTAAAAACAATCTTTTTCTCCCTCCCCCTTTAAATGTACTACCTTTGAAATGTATCTAGTTACTAATTAACATTACCTTTGAAATGTATCCCTAATTAACCTTTCTGTACTGGTAGCACTGGGGACCCCGGTGTTATATGAATGTTCCCTGCCCCAGAGAACTTGCAGTCTTAAAGACAAGCCTTCTGGCGCTGAAGGGGGAGCTATGATAGAAGGATGTAGGCAATTCTTAGCCATTCAGGAACAGCGATCTCAGCTCCCCACCTGCCAAATGATTATCCGCTGGCAGCTTTCTCTGTGCATTAAGGCAGAGGGGAGTTTCCAGGTGGGCCTTGAAGTTGGTGGCTTTCAGGATTTTTGCCTGGGAGCTTTTCCCACACAGAAGGGTAGGTGGGAGTAATGGGCTGGCTTTCTCTGTGCTGCCTTCGTCATTACTTTATGAGGAGTTCTGCGTGGGGAAATCTGCCAGGGCGACCGTGAGAATCTCCTGCTTAAAAAATAAACTCCAGCGCGGAACGATTAGCTGTTTAAAAATAGACTACAAGGGAAAGGAAGCCGGGAGGGCTAGAGATGAGAGGGAGGCTGCAGCGGCGTACAAGGCGGAGGTGAGGCTGTTTTGGCCTCACTGCTTTGAAGGAAGGCAAATCAAACAGCCCCTTTAGCGTGTGGAATGTGACACATCGCGGTTCGTGCAGCACTGGCTGTTAAAACCACAGTGGACCACGTCTTGCTGTGGGGTCCTGCCCAGACCTCCCTGCTGTTCAGCACTGTAGGGGTGCACCCCAGGGGTCCTGCCACCCCCATTTGCCACCCTGGCTGGGGGTGTTTCTGCTTCCACATAGAGATGGTAGGTGGCCCCAGAGCTCTGGGGTGGGGTCTGGTTATTTTCCAGGGGAAGGC